AAAAAATTTGTTTTTCAGTTAGAATTTTTTAATACATTTCTTGATACTTAACATATCATACAATTCAACTATTCAATCATACGGAGAACTGCACAACATCACTGTTCATTCTTGATCTCTTCTAAATGCCTACAGGTCGGGGTCGGGTGGGGCTAGGCCTCACCATTAGCTTCATTTTTGTACAACTAGCAATTTTCAACACACGCTGCCTGATGAAGCGCAGAAAAAGGAGCTATCTGAGACAAGGAAAGGGTGACTACGAAGACAATGGGTTAGAGCAGCGGTTCTCAACCTGTGGGTCGCGACCCCTCTGGCGATTGAACGACCCTTCCACAGGGGTCGCCTGATTCAAAACGGTAGCAAAATGACAGTGATAAAGTAGCAACGAAAATAATTTTATGGTTGGGGAGGAGGGGGTCACACCACGTGAGGAACTGTACTAAAGGGGTGCGGCATTAGGAAGGTGGAGAACCACTGGGTTAGAAAGTAAATGTTTAGAAAATAATGATGGCAACGTATGTACAAATATGCTTGATACAATTGATGTACGGATTGTTATATGAGATGTAAGAGCCCCACCCCTAGATAAAGTGATCTTAAAAAATATAGAAGACAATGGGGAATCCCAATTAATAACATATTTTCTAAAAGACAATGGGAAACCCTGTGGGACAGAAGGGCAGGCAGCGGTGCCCTTTGAGCCATCTATATTATACAGCCATCTATATTATACATCTATATTATACGTATATTATATGGGTGCCCTTTGAGCCATCTATATTATACAGCCATCTATATTATACGTATATTATATGGGTCCCCTTATATATACAGCCATCTATATTCTACTCGAACTACCTTCCCAAACCACAACCTAGCTACACGTCTAGGCTTTCTTAAAAGTCCTCCTCCTCCTCACCTTGATCATAACAAGCCCCTGGCCCAATCATGGGTGTCAAGATTGTCAAAACTATTCGCAGGCAAGAGAATGCTTAAGGCCTGCTTAGTGACTTGACATTTTGTCCTTCAGATGGACCAGTGGAGTCAGCACGGTTCTAAACGACAATTAATCCCCCCCCCC